CCTCAGAGCCCTGCCTCCATCAAGAGCCAGAAACCTTAAGGCTCTAAGGCCAAGCCCTATTCCCTCCCCCATCCCGTGGAGGGGGCACAGGCCCAGAAGTCTGCGGCTGCAGTCCAGCCAGCAGGGAGGCAGCTGGGAGTGGGCAGATAAGGGAATCAGTGGGGCCAGGCCAGGCTTTGGGGAGACCCACGAGGGCGGGAGGTGGGGGTGAGGGTGGGGGTGGAGTGTCCCAGCCAGGCATCCTCTCTGTCATACCTCCATTTGAGACTCAGCCCCATCATCCTCTCTTTCCTGAAGTCTTCCCTGACTGGTTCCCTCCCTCCTGGCATCTTCTGGGCTCTAAAGCTTGGTGCCAGCCCATGGCATTTGGACTATTCAGGCCTCTGCCAGACTGTGGAGTTCGCTGAAATGAGGACAGAAACCTGCCTTATTTATTTCAGATCCTTTTAAAAAGAAATAACATTACACATGCAGTTAAAGTCCTTGCACCAATTCCATTTCCCTTTTTCCTTCCAGTGCCTTGAGTTTGGTGTTTGTCTTCCTCATTACTATTTTTTAAAAGCTTTTTAAAGATTTTATTTATTTATTTATTTAGTTAGTTAGTTAGTTATTTTAGAGAGACTAGATAAAGGACTAGAGAAAGAGAGGGAGCGAAACATTGATGTGCAAGAGAAACGTAGGTTGGTTGCCTATCTCACACCCCGAACTGGGGACCTGGCCCGCAACCCTGGCATATGCCCTGACTGGGAATTGAACTGGCGACCCTTTGGTTTTGCAGGCTGGCATTCAATCCACTGAGCCACACCAGCCAGGGCCCTCATGACTATGTTTATTCTAATTAGTACATATGTACGTACCCTTAAATAACATAGGATACTGGGGGTTTGGGGCCTGTTTTTGAACTTGAAATAAATGGAATCATACAGTATATACTTCTTTTGCTCAGCATAACATCTGTACGTCCATCCAGATTGTTGTGTGTGTCAACAGTTCAATCTTTTTTATTAAAATGTAATTCATGTACCATAAAATTCACCCTTTTAAAGTACGCATTTCAGTGATTAGGCTATTCACACAGTTGTACAATTATCAACACTATCTAATTCTAGAAAGTTTTCATCGCCCCCAGAAGAAGCTCTGTACCCATTCGTAGTTATTTCCCATTGTATTTCTGCTTCCCTCAAGCCCCTCACAACCACTAATTTAATTTCTGTCTCATGGATTTGCCTGTTTTGGACATTTCATATGAGTGGAATCATTCAGCATGAGGAATAGGATTACAGGGCCTTATGGTAATTCTATTTAACTTTTTGAGGAACTGAGAAGTATTCTCCACAGCAGTGGTTTGAGGGTTCCAATTTATTCACATTCTTTCCTACAATTATTTGTCCTGCTTTTTAATTCTAGCCATCTTGATGGGTGTAATGTGGTTTTGATTTGCATTTTCCTAATGACTTATGATGTTGAGCATTTTTTCATGTGTTTACTGACCCATTTGCACATCTTTAGAAAAATGTCTATTCAAATTTCTTGCCCATTTTTAATTGGGTTATTTGTCCCTTTATTGTTGAGTTGTAGGAGTTCTATATGTGTTCTGGATGCTAGACTATTACAGATAGGTGATTGGCAAATATTTTTTCCTATTTGTGAGTTGTCCTTTCATTTTTTTGAGAGTGTCTTTTGAAGTTCAAAGCTTTTAGTTTTGACAAAGTCCACTTTATCTATTTTTTCTTTGGTTGTTTATGCTTTGGGTATCATATGTCATATCTGAAAAACCATCGCCTAATGAAAGGTCATGAAGATTCACTCTTCTGTTTTCTTTTAATAGTTTTAGCTGTTACATTTAGGTCTTTGGTTCATTTTGAGTTGATTTTTGTATCTGCTGTGAGATAGGTCCAACTTCATTTTTGCATATGGATGTTCAGCTGCCCCAGTACCATCTGTTCAAGAGACTCTTCTTTCTCCATTGACTTGTCTTGACACACTTGTGAAAAATCAATTACCCATAATTTATTATTTCTGGATTCTATTCCACTGATCTATGTATCTATTTTTATGCCAGTACCACACACTCTTGATTACTGTAGCTATGTAGTACATTTTTAAATTAGGAAGTGTGAGTCTTCCAGCTGTGTTTTTTTTTTTTTTCAAGATTGTTATAACCATTCTGGGTCCCTAGCATTTCCAAATGAATTTTAGGATCAGTTTGTCAATTTTTGCCAATAAGCAAAGTGGGATGCTGATAGGAATTACATAAAATCTGTAGACCAATTTGGGGAGTATTGCCATCTTAACACTATAAAGTCTTTTATCTGTAAACATGTGATGTCTTCCCATTTATTTGGTTCTCCTTTAATTTCTGTCAACAGTGTTTTACAGTTTTCAGTGTACAAGTCTTCCCATATTTTGTTAAATTTATTAGTATTTTACTGTTTTTGATGCTATTGTAAATGAAATTGTTTTCTTAATTTCACTTTTTTATTGTTCACTGTTAGTATATAGAAATATGATTAATTTTGTGTGATCTTATATCCTGTAACCTTGCTGAGCTCGTGTGTGTATGTGTGCGTGCGCGTGTATGGTATATATAATGGTTTTGCTGTGGGTTCCTTAAGATTTTCTGAGTAAAAACCACATCATCTGCAAATAGAGATAGTTTAACTTCTTTTTTCAATATGAATGACTTTTATTTCTTTTCTTACCTAATTGTCTCAACTAGAACCTCCAGTAAGTGTTGAATAGAAGGAGTGAGAGGAAACATCCTTGACTCGTTCCTGATCTTCAGGAGAAAGTTTTATGTATTTCACCCTTTAGTATAATGTTAATTGTAGGTTTTTTGTAAATACCCTTTAGCAGGTTGAGGAAGTTCTGTTCTATTCCTAGTTGTTGAGGATTTTTATCACAAAAGAGTGTTGAATTTTGTCAAATGCTTTTTTCTGCATCTATGAAATTATGTAATTTTTATACTTTATTCTATTAATCTGGTGCATTTGCACTGATTGATTTCATATGTTGAACCAATTTTTCATTCTGAAATAAATCCCACTTGGTTATGTTAGATTATATATACAATGTTATATAATCCTTTTGTATGTTGCTGAATTCCATTTACTAGTATTTTGTAGAAGATTTTTGCATTTATATTAATGAGATATTATTGGTCTGTAGTTTTCTTATTATGTCTTTGTCTGGCTTTGATATAAGGTTGATGCTAGGCTCATAAACTTATTCCCTTTTATTACTGAGTAGTAGTCCATAGAATGGAAAAACCATGGTTTGTTTAACCATTCATCTGCTGATGGACATTTGGGTTGTTTCTAGTGTTTTTCCCCTATTACAGCAAATTTGTAATTTATGAACTCATGTTCTTCTTTCTGAGCACAAACATGTGAAAGTTCCTCCAGGGGCGAGGGATATTAGTCCATCTACCCATCCATCTACCTATCCATTTATCCATCCATCCACATCTATCCATCCATCTACCCACGTAACCATTCATTCATCCACCCTTCTGCTGCCCTCATTCCCTTTCTACCCTCCCTCCCTATCTCCCTCTTTCTCTCCTCCCTCCCTCCCTTCCTCCCTCCCTTCCTTCCTCCCTTCCTTCAATAAATCATCTATCTCTAGGCATATAATATCTGGATCCAAAGCAAGCTGTCTTTTAAAAATAGGTAGGAAAACTGCTGCAGCTTTCGGCAAAGCCTTTCATGTGCTAAAACACATCCATACATATTCTCTCTCACCAGAATTTTTGGGGCTCCCTGGGGGTTCACTCAGAAGATCTGACTGAATTACTATCTGGGTGGAGACTGTTCAGAGACCAGAGTACACAAGACTAGGGAGTCCCTCACCTCAAGACACTCTCATACATGCTCCTTCATCCATCATTCATTCATTCAGGAAGCCGTATTCTTCCTTTCCCTCTATGCCTACCTCATCTGCTGGTTCCTCGCTTTGTTTCAAAACTCTAAATGTCTTTGGGCCTCTTCTCTAGTTGACATTTTCTCTCTTGGTGAACTAACTCATCCAGTCTCTGTCACTCACTGCTCCCTCTTTCTTCTCACTGGTTTCCTGCTGTTCCTCACACACACTAAGCATATTCATGATTTCGGGCCTTTCACTGGCTTTTCCCTCTGCCTGGTATGCTCTTCCTTCAGCGATCAGTGCGTCTTCCCCCTTATCTCTGCAGGTCTGTGCTCCAATGTCTCCTTCTCAGTGAGGTTTCCCTGACCATCCTATTACACATTGGAAACTGCCTTACTGGTCTTTATGTGTTCCCTCTTTTCTGTTTTCTTTTTCTCCAAAGCATTTATCATCCTCTAACATACTTAGTATTTTCCTTACTTAATTTTATTTATTTTGTATCTCTCCCACTAGAATGGTAGCTCCACAAATAAACATGCCTACTTCTGCTGTTCAATGCTGTCTCTCCAAAGCCTGGAACAGGGCCAAGCACACAGTAGATGCTCAATATATGTTTATTAATTGAGTGGTGTGGTGGTGGGGGGAGGTACAGAAACAGAGGTAATTTGTCCTTGTCCCATCTATTCTGTCAGGATCTGAGCATCAATTGCTATGAGTCTGGACTTACCAGATCCAAAGGTAGAAAGTGCCACATCCCCTGAGGGTGAGACCAGATAAGGCACACCAAGAGGAGGTAGTGTCATATGGGCTGGTCCTTGAAGATCTCATGGGAATCATAGAGATCTTGGGGTTCATTGAGGCCTCTGAGGTGGAGGGAACAGCAGGCAGCACCTGGAAGAGGTGAGATGAGTCTAAAAGCATAAAAAAGGATGGGTTCATGGACAAGGAGAAATCTGTTAGAGACCTTGAATCCCAAGGGCCTGCCCCTGGATTTGGTCCTCAGATATGTCATCCCTAGTTCCTGACCCCCCCAAAGGGTTCAAACATCTCATGTGCTAGACAAACACCCATTTATAACGCCCAGACAATAATAATGAGGAACTCATATTAATTGAAAGTTTATTAATTTATTGGGGCAGCTTAGAAGCAGAACATTCAGTCTTGTAGATTTGGTCCCAAACACATCTCCCCAGCAGGATGTGGGAAGTACTTAAGTTGTCAGTTCTTGGAGGTCTCTGGGTCTGGGTGAGAGTCTTGAAGGAAGGAAGGAAGGAAGGAAGAGGACAACAATGCAGGGAACGAAATGGAGCGCCAGCTTCAATCACAAGGAAATATAGTTGGACACCTCAATCAGGTTTCTGTCAGGGTCTCGGAAGTAGATGGACATAATGGGCCCTTTTGCCCCAGTTCTGGGGACTGGACCCTCCTCAATGGGAACATTACAAGCCTGAAGTAGAAGACAAAAGTCATTCATCACATTCTATGTGTGAGACCAAAATTTAATTCCTTATATAGTGGCCTAGAAGACCCCTGTATCTTTCTGACCTCATCTACCATTCTCCCCTCCCTCCATCCCTCTGCTCCAGCCACATACAAGCTGTGTGGCCTCGGGCAGATAACTGCCCTGTACCTCAGTTTCCTCTGTAAAATGGGGATGATGACAATAGTGTCTAGTGCTATTTAGTAAGTGGCAGAGTCAGAATTCAAACCCAGGCAGTCTAGGCCAAAGTCTATACTCTTAACCCCTAAGCTTTGCCCACTTTACTTCCAAACAAGACTTTTTCACTGATGCTTTCCAAAAAAGGAGTCTAGGATATTTGCACAGAATATATTCAAGACCCTGATCTGTATTCCCCAACAGAAGAACCAATGCCCCCTTTACATGAAATGATTTTAAGTGTTACAGGAACACCAACGTTAAATAATAGCAAGTTAGGAATTATTCCCTCTTCAATTTACTTTCAGTCCTTCTGTTTATGCCAAGAAGAAAGACTCTGGTGTATGCTAACAAGTCCTTAGCACCTCCTTAACCACCTGCTGAATCTCCATTTGGAATGTCAGGCTCAGAGAGTTCACAGAATGGAAATAGCTAGAATTGAATAACATTATGATGCTTTTATAGCTGTTTGTTTTTACAGTTGCCTTCCCTTTGTGGCAAGATATAATGGGTTTTTTATTTACTGGGTTCAATATTTTATTTTCTTTTTACATAAATGTATTTATGTAAAGAGAATTTACTGGTAGGTGATTGTTTTACAAGGGTAATGTAAAGTTTTTCCTTTATTTTTATTTTTATTGTTTTTATAGAAAGGGGAAGGGAGGGAAACAGAAAGGGAGAGAAACATCAATGCAAGAGGGAAACATTGATCCGCTGCCTTCCACAAGTGCCTGGGAATGGAACACAGAGCCAGCAGCCCAGGCATGCACCCCGACTGGGAATCAAACCGGCGACCCCTCTGTTTGCAGAATGAGGCCCAATCAACTCAGCAACACTGGCCAGTCCTAAAGTTTCCTTTTAAAATACATTTGATTATGTGAAAAAAAATGATGTCAATAAAGATAATGAACGAGTAAATAATGGTAGATTCGAGGAAACCTCTTATGCCTGAAGTTTGAGGAAGACCTCTCTGGGTCATGCTTCTGTTTTCACTGCATGTGCAGCAGATTTCTCAAAAAGAATGGAAGTCTGACTCACCTTGAGGTGCTGGACCATTTCCTCCAAAGGTACCTCTGTGATCAGACATATGTCCAGGGAGCCAGGAACTGGGTGAGCTGCTTTGGGTTCAAATTCCTTTCCCACTTCATGAAGGTTAAATTTCTGGTTTCCAAAACACAATGCTTTCCTATCTCCCTGTTTGGAGAGAGAAAACAACCTAGAGTTAAACCTCCAAGATGAGTGTGAGGCCAAATTCTCCCTAACTATCCCAACAAGATTTTTTAAAAAAGTATAACAGGGGTTTTAACGGAAAAACAACAACAACAACAACAGTCCTGTGCCCCACCTAAGTCTCATTCCTTAGGGGCAATTGCCTTTTTTTTTTTTCATCCTCACCCAAGGACACTTTTTCATTACCTTTTAGAGAGAGAGAAACATAGCTGCAAAGCATCAGTTGGTTGCTGCCCACATACGCCCAGACTAGGGTGTGTGCCCTGACCAGGAATCAACCCTCAACTTCTTGGGTTATGGAACGACACTCCAACTAAGTGAGCCATACCAACCAGAGCCAGAAGCAACTTTTAACGTGTGTGTTTATTTCTTCTGGAACTTATTTCCCTATCTCCAAAAAAGATGTTGATACTACGCATGGCAGAAACAGCAATTTGTCTACTTAATATACGTTTCTCCTTCTTTACTTATAAACACAACCCAAATGATATCAGCAGACAATGTGGGTGGGGCTTCAGGGAATCTCCCCACCTCACTGAGCTAACACTATTTGTTGGTTCACTTCCTCCTTTTTCCCAGCCACGGCCTGCCTCTCCACTAAACGTTGAATAAGAGAAAAAGAAAATTCTATATTCTTTGCCTACTGTTACTTGGGTTTTCTCCTATGTGTCTCCAGACACAGTTCCTAAATGATGTGCCACTATTTCTTGATTTAATAACTTCAGACATCTCTATCCTCTCCCTGCTATTATAAATGAGAATTTAACTCATCCACGTTACTACCTCTCCCAATAGAATTCTATCATCATTTGTAGTTCCTCTTTTGGTTCTTTTATAATTTGTTTTATTTTATTTATTTATTTTTAGAGAGAGGGGAAGGCAGGACGAAAGAGAAGGAGAGAAACATCAGTGCATGAGAGAAACACTGATCACTTGCCTCGTGCATGCACCCGGATAGGGGATCGAACGCTCAACCCAGGCATGTGCCCTCACCAGGAATTGAACCAGTGACTTTTTGCTTTGCAAGACAACGCCCAACCAACTAAGCCATACTAGTCAGGACGGTTCCTTTATAATTTTTAAAGAATCCACTTGTATCTATGTTGATAGATGAATTACAGTTAGTATCTCATTGGCCCTACTATCTTTCTCTTCATGTCTCCTCCCTCTCCTGTGCCTCCCAATCTCTGCCATTTCTTGTATCATTTTTATATTTCTTTCTTTTATATCATCATGATTGATACCATATCCACTCTATCAGAAAATGACTTTATTTCAGTTTTACACTTGAACGATAGTTCGGTTGAGTATAGAATTTGAAGTTGCAAGTTATTTTCCCACATCCTTTTACATATGTGGCATTGTTGTCTTCCTGAATCTGGTGTTGCTGATAAGAAGTCTGATATTAATCTGGTTTTCATTCTTTTGTAGATGATACAGCCACCCTTGACCCTTGCAGCTTTTGGGACTATTTTTGACCCTAGATAGACTGAAATTTCACTCCCATGTGTCCAAGTACAGGGACTTGAGGCATCATATGCTTCATTATCACTATTGGCCCATGCAAGGCCCCTCTCTAGTTTTCTTTATGCATTTATTCTTCTTGTCTCCATTCTCCACTCCTGTCAAACCATTATAATATGTTTGACATTTGGTTTCATAAGTTATTGTAAAAAGTATATTTTTTGTACATATATTATAAATGGTACCATGTTGTAGACGTAATTCTGTTTCTTCACTTTTTACTCAGCATGATCTTTTTAAGACCTGTCTATCTTGCTGTGTAGACATCCAGTCTGATGTTGCATAATTCTATCTTAACGCATAGCATTCCATGTTAGGCTTAAAATTTTTATCCTGTTTGCCATTTTATGGGCCCTTTCAATTTAAGATATATTTTTTGCTTTTTCTGTATTTTCCACTTTTGAAGTTGTTTCAAATTCTCAAGGATAGTACTCAATCTCTGTAAACCTCCTTTCTTACTGGGACCTCTCTTTCTTGGGAACTTTCTCCTGTTTCCAATTGAACTGATTATCCTCTAGGTACTTTCTGGGATATTCCCCCTTGGGACCCACTGTCTCCTGACTTTGATGTCTTCCTTATTCCTGGCTTAATCACTCATTTTGATGTAGCATAATCTCAATTTTCAAAGCAAGTGGGCAAAATTTCTGAGTCTTTTTATGTCTAAGAATGTTTTACTCTACCCTCACCTTGATTAATAATTTAGTTGGACATAGAATTCTAGGCTGAACTTTTTTCCCTGAGAATCTTGTCAGTGTTTTTCAATTGTCCTCTAGTCTCTGATGTGAATATTGGGAAATCTGACATCTGCATATTTATTTTTCCTTTACATTTGAACTATTTTTCTTTTTAACCTCTCTGAAAGTTCTTAGGATCTTTAATTTCACTTTGATATTCTGTAACTTCATAAGAATATATCTAATTGTCAATGTACTGGATATTCAGTTAACCCTTTCTGTTAAAAGACTGGAAAGTTCTGTTGAATTATTTTGATGGTAATTTCCTCTCTTCTATTTTTCCATTCTCTCTCTGGAAATACCACTATTCAGAGTTTGGAATCTCCTTTACTGGTCCTTTAAATTATTCTCACAGATTTGTTGTGGGTTTTTTAAGTTATTTTTTAAAGTATTACAATCAAATTTTATTCCACCTAAAGGTTGGCATTTGCATAAGTAGTTACCTTGAATGTTATGATCTCCATGCCTAGAATCTTGGAATAAAACGTGGTGGTGTCTTTGATACTCTTTACTGTCATCACGATGTGGTCAAGTCTATGAATAAGACATGGGGAAGGGGTCTGACTGCTGTGCCTCCATAACTAAAAAAAAAAAAATTCAGAAGAGATCACATTGCTACTAGTCACACCCAAGTTTCTGTTTCCTTCTCCTTACCTCCCCTTACCTCCCCAATGAGTATACTTCCTCCTCACTCCTATTTCAAGGAGAAAGTGTTGGGAGGAAACTTTTTAAAATAGATTATACTTATTCATTTTTTTAGAGAGAGGGGAAAGGAGGGAGAAAGAGTGTGAGAGAAACATTAATGTGTGAGAGAAACAGTGATTGGTTGCCTCTTGTATGCACTCCTAACAGGAACCAAACCCACAACCCAGGCATGTGCCCTGACCAGGAATCAAACCAATGACCTTTTGCTTTGAAGGACAATGCTCAACCAACTGAGCCACACTGGTCAGGGCCTGGGAGGAAACTTTAGTAGAGTCTTATCGCCCATGTGTAGATTCATAAGAGCCAATGTGTCTGCCATGACCACTCTCCACTGCCTTCTTGTTCTCTTGCTCCTTCCAGATGGAGAGACGTAAAGATAAGGGGAGTGGAATCTAAGACCAAACCCTCTCTTGTTTCCCCCAAGCTGGAATTCATCTCTTTTGCAAGAAATGACAAGACACAGAGGAGGCCCAACACTATGAGTACAAGCCTTCCATTGGTCAATTTAACCCAGTCCCCTCTTTTCCCACTCTGCAGCTCTGATGACAGAGGACAAAATAAGAAGGGAGCATCTCGGATGGAATAAATGTCTCTGGGAATGTGTGTTTAGAAATCTACCTTGATGCCCAGTAAGAGGGCATACCTCTTTACCCCAACACTCTGCACTCTGCACACTTCCCACCAGGTCTTTCTCTTGATTTGCATTCTTCAGTCATTTGTATATTTACGTTACATCTCCTACAGGATTGTAAGGTGCCTGTGGTCTGGCACTATTAAGAGCATAGTACAGTGGTTAAAAGAACAGACTCTGGAGCCACATTGACATTTAATCAACGTCTCTGTGCTTTAATTTCCCCTCTTATAAAATGGACATGGTTTTATACATACCTTATAGGGCTGTTATTAACATTTTAAAAGAGTTGTATATCTATGTGTGATTGCCTCTCACAGGCCCACTACTAGGGACCTGGCCTGCAGCCCAGGCATGTGCCCTGACTGGGAATAGAACTGGCAACCCTTTGCTTCGCAGGCCGGCACTCAGTCCACTGAGCCACACCAGCCTAAAAAAAAGAGTTATATATCTAAGGGCTTAGAACCATGTCTGACAGATAGCAAGTGCCATGTGAGCTAATGATGATGATCATGTTGTCCTGGTCATCTTATTAAAATTCAGACTCCCTAGCATGACCCCCAATTTCTATAGCCTCATCCATTGCCCTTGAATTCCAAGCCACATTGCCCTTTTGCTTCTTCCTCATAAGGGCCATCCTTGTATCTTTGGCCTCAAGGTCTTTTTCATAGCTAATATCTGTCTCCTGATTAGACTATAGGCTGCATATGGGTAGAGATTTCTCTCTGCTTTGTTCCCTACTTGTGTCTCAAACAAATAGCAGATGTTGAACGAATATTTAGTTAGTGGATATCTACTACAACAATTAGGCCCAGTGCCTGGCACAAAGTCTGACTTCCCTTTTCTTCCTTTCCTTTCCCTTCCCTTCCCTTCCTTTCCATACCTTTCCTCTCTATTTCCTTCCATTCCTTTCCTTTCCATTTAATTCCTTTCCACCTTATGCTATTTTATTCTGTTCCATTCTACAGTGTTCAATTCCATTCAAGTTATTACATTTTAAACAATTGATTTCACTGAGCACCAGCTTAAAAAATATATATATTGTATGTTCCATTTTCATGAGTGGAGGAAGCATTAGCAAAGTTGCTGAGTTCTGCTGTCCTTATGGATACAGAGGATCCATAGGGACACAGAAGCAATAGAATGAGAAAATGACTGACATATGGGATCCATTGAAAATAAGGTCATATTCCCTGGCTGGTGTGACTCAGTGGATTGAGTGCTAGCTTGTGAACAGAAAGGTCACCAGTTTGATTCCCGGTCAGGGCACCTGCCTGGGCTGTGGGCCAGGTCCTTAGCTGGGGGCATGCGAGAGGCAACCCATAGATGTTTCTCTCACACATCCATGTTTCTCTCCTTCTCTCTCTCCCTCCCTTCCCCTCTCTCTAAAAAATAAATACATTTTTTAAAGTTAAAAAAAGAAAATAAAGTCATACGTTTAAAAACCTCATTAACCTTTTAACGTCTGTAAGATCTGTAATAACACTCCCTTTTCATTCCTGATATTGGTAATTAATATTTTTTCTCCTAATCACTTGAGAGAAAACAGAAATTATTAATATTTTATTAATCTGTTAGAAGAAACAACTTCTCTGATATTCATTTAGAGCTACAGATTTTCCTCAAAGTATTCTTCAAGGTGCCAGCAGCTGTTGGAACTCTTATGGCAAACCTCAAGGTCAGTGCTGTTCCCGGCTTCTCCCTACACTGCCCCATCCTAGTGTCCTTGCTTGAACTAGTTCCCCAGAGCCACCCTGAAGGATTAGAGAAGCCAGCCCTCAGCCAGACCCACTCCTGCAGACATGTTGATGGCTGACCGTGTGTTAGAGCAGGGCCTTTCTATGTCCCTCTGCTGCCATCTGCTTGTCTTTGAAATAGGAAGAAACAGAGAGGAGAAGAGGGGAAAATGGATGTCAGCACATAAGGGCAGCCTGCTTAGAAGGGAAGCAGGTTACCAGGCCTGGGCTGGGAGGTCCCCAGCCGTGGTGCCACCACCTGTGCCCCAGGCCCCCAGGGACAACCCCATTCACCTGCTTCTCCAAAATCCTAGCTGGCAGCCTGGAGAGAAGAAGGCACAGCATGGTAGGCTAAATGTCCTTGCCCTGGGACCTCCAGACAAGCCTCTGGCTCAGCGCCTGGAGATCAAGGGGCAGGAATGGGAGGGCCCCGGGCTGAGAACTGTTAGTGGCGAGAGACATAGGCAGGTAGGCGGAGCAAGTATTAGGACTCTGACATAAAACTCAGGACCTTGAAAGTAAGAGCTTAAGGTGTGTCTTAGACAGCTCAGACCAACATAAAATATAGCCTGAAAATTTATTTATTTTCATACTGACAATTTTGATGTCAGTATGGTCAGGTTCTGGTGACAACTCTCTACCTGGCTTGTAGACGGCCACTTTCCTGCTGTGTCCTTGCATGGCAGAGAGAAAAAGCAAGCTTTCTGGTCTCTTATCAAGGCACTAGTCCCATCATGAGGACCCCACTGTCATGACTTCATCTAACCCTAATCACCTCCCAAAGGCCCCACATTCTAATACCAACACATTGGGAATTAGGGCTTCAACATATGGATTTGGGGAGGGGTAAACATTCAGTTTGTGAATAACAGGTGTATACGCATAAGGGATTACTTTGTGTTAACACAGAAAAACCAACCACTTTGAAGTACTGGGAGGCTTTATTCTAGGGTGTGAGGCCTATGATCTTTTTTAGGGGTGTTTCTCCAGAATGTGAGCTTTCTGATCTGTTTGAAAGTCTGTGTCCAGGGTCAGAAGTTAGGAGCTGAATTAGAATAGGATCACTATGATTTATTATGGGTTTGTTTTCAAGGCAAGATCTCTAAACTATTCAGTGTTCTGTGCCTCAGGGTGTAATGTTCCTGAATTCTTTTTTTAAATTTTTTCAAAGATTTTACTTATTTATTTTTAAGAGGGGGAAGGGAGAGAGAGAGAGAGCGAGCAACGTGTGGTTGCCTCTTGCATGCCCCCCACTGAGTACCTGGCCTGGCCTACAAGCCAGGCATGTGCCCTGACTGAGAATCAAGCCAGCAACCCCTTGGTTCACAGGCTGGCACTCAATGCACTGAACCACAACAGCCAGAGCTGTTCCTGAATTCTTTTTGGGTGTGAGCTCTGGGGTCTTGTGCAATTGTTGTGTGGACACTCCTAGGGCCACATGGACTGGGGTGGGGATACCCTTGGCTTCACAGAGACAGGGGTGTAGATAATCCTGGAGTCACACCAAGTGGAGAGTGAGCACTCTTGGAGACACATGGACAAGGATGGGAACACCACATGAGGTAACACACACTGGGGTATAGACAGTCTTGGGTTACTCAGGTGGGGTTCTGGGCATTCCAGAAGTCACACACACTGGGGAATGGGCACTCTTGGAATCACCCACACTGGAGATTTTACACTCTTGGGGTTACCCAGAGTGGAGTGTAGACACTTTTAGGGTCAGGTTGACTAGCATGCCAGCACTACTGTAGTCAAAGAACCTGGGATGTGGGCAGTCCTAGGGTCAAACCAGTTTGCATGTGGACACATCTGGGGTTACACACATTAGGGAGTGGACACTCCTGAGTCACCCAACTGGCTAGTGGACGTTCACAGGGTCACACATTTGGGGGTGTGTACCCCAGGGATCAGATAACCTGGGCTGTGGATGTCCCTGAGGTTACACAGATTGGAATGTGGAGCCTTTTGGGGTCATTCAGACTAGCATGTGGGCCCTCCTGGGCCCAGACCACCTAAGGTGTGGGCAACTGTGAGGTCACCCAGAATAGGTGTGCACAAACATGGGGTAATAAAGCTGGAGGGTTGGACACTCCTAGAGCCACTCAGGCTAGAGTGTGGCCAGACATGAGGTCACTCAGAAGGGGGTATGAACACTCCCAGGGACACACAAACTAGAGAGCCAACATCCCTGGAATCATCCAGAGGGAGTTTGAGACACTCTTGAAGTTAAACACACTGGGAATTGGACACTCCTAAAATCATACATGTTGTAGACTGGACACTTCCTCACATCACACAGACTGGGGTATGAACATCCATGGTATTACTCAGGGGAGGGGACACTCCTGGGGTCATAGTGACTGAGGTGGGGACAGTCCTATGGTCACATAGACTGTGTTATGGACACTCCTGAGATCTCAGTGAAAGGGGTGTGGACATTCTTGTGGTCAAAGAAATGATGAGTTGGCACCCCTGGGGTCAGAGATTGAGGTTAAGACACTCCTGTGGTCACGGAGAGGAGTTGATGGATACTCCTCCATGTAGACTTAGAACTGGATACTGCTGAGATCAGACGCTGTGATGTAGTTGACCCTGGGGTCACACATATGGGTATTTGGGCACTCCTGGGTCACACGCATGGGGATTTGAAAACTCCTGATCACTTCTGGTCAAGATGGAGGAGTAGGTAGATACACTTTGCCTCCTCGCACAACCAATAGAAGGACAACAACAAATTTAAAAACAAAAAATAACCAGGACTGCCAGAAAATCGAACTATATGGAAGCCCGACAACCATGGAGCTAAAGAAGAAACTTTCATCCAGACCAGTAGGAGAGGCAGACACAGGCAGCCAGGGTGGAGAGGACATGTGGCAAGGTGGCAGCTGGAGGACTGGGCAAGTGAGGCGGCGGCTGGCAGACCAGGCGGTCCCACTTTTGCCTGCAGATAAACTGGGAGGAACAGCTGGGGAGCAAGACAGACAGAGCAATCTAGGGTTCCAGTGCAGGAAAAGAAAACCTCAAAACCTCTGGAGGTAAAAATCTGTGGGGGATGCAGCAGCAGGAGAAACTCCCAGCCTCACAGGAGAGTTCATTGGAGAAACGCACAGGGTCATGCAATGTACACAAACCCACCCATCCACAAATAAGCACCAGAAGGGTCCAATTTGCTTATGGGTAGCGGGGGAAGGGACTGAGAGCCTGCCAAGAGCCCAGGAAGTGGCATTATTCCCTCTCGGACCCCTCCCCCACATACAGCATCACAACACAGGGACCTGGATTGCCCAGCCCTGGTGAATACCTAAGGCTCCACCCCTCCCAATGTAACAGGTGTGCTGAGACAAAGGAATATGACCCAAATGGAAGAACAGATCAAAGCTCCAAAAATAGAACTAAGCAATGAACAGATAGCCAACCTATCAAATGCAGAGTTCAAAACACTGGTAATCTGGATGCTCACTGAATGGGCTGAGTGTGGTCACAAAATGGAGGAATAAGCAAAGGCTATGCAAAGTGAAATAAGGAAAAATATACAGAAAACCAACAGTAAAGGGAAGGAAACTGAGACTCAAATCAATGACTTGGAGCAGAAGGAAGAAATAAACATTCAACCAGCACAGAATGCAGAAACAAGAATTCAAAAAAATGAGGAGAGGCTTAGGAACCTCTGGGACAACTTTAAACGATTCAACTTCCGAATCATAGGGGTGCCAGAAGGAGAAGAGGAAAAGCAAGAAATTGAAAACTTATTTGAAAAAATAACGAAGGAGAACTTCCCCAGTCTGGTGAAGGAAACAGACTTCCAGGAGACCCAAGAAGCTCAGAGAGTCCCAAAGAAGTTGGACCCAATTATGACACAAAAGCTTGTCATAATTAAGTGACCCAAGATTAAAGATAAGGAAATATTCTTAAAAGCAGCAAGAGAAAAGGAGACAGGTACTTACAAAGGAGTTCCCATAAGACTATCAGCTGATTTCTCAAACGAAACCTTGCAGGCAAGAAGGGGCTGGCAAAAAGTTTTCAAAGTCATGAAAAACAAGGATCTACATCTAAGATGACCCTATCCAGCAAAGCTATTGTTTAGAGTGGAAGGGCAGATAAAGTGCCTCCCAGACAAGGTAAAGTTAAAGGAGTTCATCATCACCCAGCCCTTGTTACATGAAATGTTAAAGGGACTTATTAAGAAAAAGAAGATCAAAAACTATGAACAGTAAAACGGGTGGCAGGGGAGGAGAATGGGGGAAAAGATACAGGGAATAAGCAGCATAAATAGTAGGTACAAAATAGGCAGGGGGAGGTTAAGAATAGTATAGGAAATGGAGAATCCAAAGAAATTATATGTACAACTCATGGACATTAACTAAGGTGGGGGCAGTGCTGGGGGGTGGGGTGGTGCAAGGTGGAGGGGAATGAAGAGGAGGAAAAAAATGGAACAACTGTGAGAGCATAATCAATAAAATACATATTAAAAAGAAAAGAAAAGAAAACTCCTGATCAGCCCTGGCTGGTGTGGCTCAGTGCAAACCAAAGGGTTGCCGGTTTGATTCCCAGTCAGGGCACGTGCCTGGGTTGCAGGCCAGGTCCCCAGTTGGGAGCATGCAAGAGTCATCCACACATCAATGTTTCTCTACCTCTCTTTCTCCCTTCCTCTCTCTCTAAAAATAAATAAATATTTTTTAAAAAAAGGAAAGAAAACTTCTGATCATATGGCCTGGTCATATGGTCTGGGGTGTGGACACTGCTGGTGTGACACAGATCAGAGTTTGGATACTCCTAGAGTCACACAGGGGGAGGGGAACATTTCTGGCTTCACACACAGGAGTGTACATACCCATGGTGTCACACAGATTGGGGAGAGGATGCTCTTGGGGCCACACAGATTGGGAAGAGAATGATGCTGGAGGCATGTATTTGGAGATCATCAATGAAGGGAAAGTTCAAATACCACCTGTTAACATACTTAGACAAGGAGGCCAGTAGACTGAGGTGGCTCTGATGCCTTGCGAACCTGCATAAGAAAAGTGAAACCTGACAGTGCCCTCGGCGGTCCTGGAATCTGTCTCTTGCTTCAACAGGGTTTGGATGGAACAGACCTAGGGACACCCTTTCTTTCCAACTACCTTCCATCCTCTTTTCTAGTCACCACCTTCGAAACCACCTCAGCCATCCTCAGCCTCTGAGACCAACCGACGCCGTTTTCTTGACTTTAATTCTTCACTGCCGAGCAACCATGAGCTCCCAGATTCGTCAAAATTATTCCTCTGAGGTGGAAGCCGCTGACAACCGCCTGGCCAACTTGCATCTGGGGGCCTCCTACACCTACCTCTCTCTGGGCTTCTATTTCGACCGTGACAATGTGGCTCTGCATGGCGTGGGCCACTTCTTCCGAGAGTTGG